AACCAGCATTTGGAAGACACAACAAAGGCTCCTCAATCTCACAACTCAACATGAACAAACTCAACCATAATCACAAGTGGGAAATTTTGAGCATCCTAGACCAAGCTAAATCTAAAACCTCTAGGAGATTCCTGGAAGCTTGGCATTTGGACAAATAATCCATGAATATGCCATAAATAAACCATAAAAATAAACCATATTTATCTGCCATTCAAAAGTAACAATTACAAAAAAAAGTTAAGAAAACAAAAAGATCAGAACATATTCTCTCTTACAGCCAACACCCAGATAAGCAAGTATTATCACCTGAGAAACAGGGAGAAAACAATACCCCAATCAAGAAACTATCAAGAAGAAAACCACACTCCTGTTAAAACTGGCAGGGCAAGCTACTGTTCATAAACAAGGAGAAAATCCCACACTCATTGGCACTGATAATGTTCCCTAGTTGGGTAATGAAACATTTGCAAGCAAATAACCATGATCAGAGAGCACCAAGAATTCCATAGTTCAAGTCTGGGATATGTTTGTTCTCTTGTATTGGATACACTTTTATTTTGGAAAAAAAAGAGATGTGCATTTCATCCTGGATTTAAAGAGATGGAATAACACTCTTATTACCTGTCTGGCAAGAAAACACTGATTGGCTTTAGTTCTTTGTGCTCAGTTATTGGTCACAAAGGACTGGTTGATGAGGAGATCTTTATTAGCTCACAAGTATATTTAGTTGGAAGGTAGTCAAACCAACCTAGATCAGCCTTGAATGCATTTTAGTGGAAGTGCCATCAATGTAACCCCAAGTCATTTTTATGATTCTTGCACACACCCCTTCCAGCCCTAGATCCCACCACTGAGATTTGGTGCCAAATTACCCAATTACAACAAAGCAATTTCCTTTTGCTTTTTGGCAGGAAAGAATGACAATGAAGAATAGGGTAGTATTTGACAGGCTTAGCAGAGCTACTAGTATATAAAATAGCCCTTTGAACAAAGGAATGAAAATTTTAGTTGTGTTCCCTTTGGAGATATTAGCATGCCACTGTCTTACCTCCTTCATTTCTCAGTGCTAATTGATATCTCTGAAACTTAGCAAAGAAGATTATTGGCATAATGATAATTGTAGCTGTTTATTAATTGATCTGGCAAGTGGGATAATTTGCATGTTAAAAAGGAAAGGAACATTGTGGAAATCTAAATCTACCATTCCTGAATCATCTATTCTAGAGAAACCCCTTGATATGGAGAAGGGGTGCAAGGGACGAACATGTTGGTGGCTTAAAGCCGGTGTGAAGGTTACGGTAGATTTGAATTTGTGGTGCATTTTGTAGCTTGTTGTATTGCTACTGAAATAGTGTATGCCTTTACATCAAGACCTTGCATGTAGCAGAAAACATTCTATTCTATTCTATTCTATTCTTCCATTCCATTTCATTCCTGCTTTTAAACTGTTGGCCTCAAATAAATGTAACAATGCAAAAATTGTTCATCAAAGAAAGCCCTCATGGTAGAGTATGATCAGAGTGGAAGAGAGAAGGTGCTTTGTCTTACCCCCCCCCCCCCAAAAAAAAAAAAAGATGTCCACACACACTGTACTGGTGAGACCACATTTAGAATACTGGATCCAGTTCTGGTCACCATGATACAGAAAGCATTTTGAGACCCTAGAAAAAATGTAGAGAAGAGCAACAAAAATGGTAAGGAGTCTGGAGAATAAACCATATGATGAATGATTGAGGGAACTAGTATGTCTAGTTTAACAAAGAGGAGTATTAGGTGTGTGATAGGAGTTTTTCAGTACTTGAGGGGTTTGTCACAGAGAAGGTGTTGATGTATCTCCCAAGCACCTGAGAGTAGGAGAAAAAGTAACAGACAGAACATCATTGAAGAGAAATCCAACCAAGTATTAAGGAAAATTTTCCTGACAGTGAGAATAATTAATCAGTGGAACACCATAACTCTGAAAGATGTGGGTACTCATTGAAGGTTTTCAAGAAGAGTTTGGACAGCCATTGATTCAGAATGATATAGGGTATCCTGCTTGAGCAGTAGGTTAGAATAGAAGAACTCCAAGATCCCTTCCAACCCTATTATTCTATGTACTATGTCCTTCATTATTTCAAGATTAAAATACAATAACATGTCTTGCAAAATTAACCAGTGTTTTCTCTCATTGATCCAAACAAGAGAGATGTTTACAAGTTTTAGCAAGTTTTTCCATTCAATGGGAAATAAATCACAGTTCACTCTGGCTGGCTTATGTTCATTTTGAAAAAAAAACCAGCATTTAGCGTAAGTACTAAGTGCAAAGTCCTCTCTCTGTCTCTCTCCCTCTCTCCCTCTCTCCCTCTCTCTCTCTGTCTCTCTGTCTCTCTTTCTGTCTCTGTCTCTGTCTGTCTCTCTGCCTCTGTCTCTCTCTCTCTCCTCTACAGAACACACCTAGTAAACATTATCCACACTTAAGCTGCAACACACTTTGACTACTGAAATATCCTGTAAGCAGAGATACCCTTGAAATATATTCTGAATCTGCAAATGATGAAGCATGTTCTAGCTAGACTACTTATGGGGATCATGTGATGTTTCTTCTGAAAGATCAGAACTATCTTCTAGTGGCCTTCAGAATATTGGTATTGACCCATCAGTTAACATAGCACTCAATGGAAACTTCTCCAAGATCAGGAAGGGCTTCTGTTGTTTTCAGAATATTGGTATTGACCCATAAAGCTCTTAATACCTTTGGGATTAGCCATCCATAGATCTGCCTTTCCTATTATGAATTTTCCTGGATACTAAAATCAGCAGGAGAAGAGGCCTTCATTTCAAAAGTGAAGATCACCTTTCAATTGGGAACTTGTCTGTGCAGTATGCAGGAAAGGTTGCCTGGCTCCTAGGTTGTGGGAGATCTATGTGATTATATCTATGTTTTATTTTAATTCTGATATTAGAAGTTAATGTGGTTTTAATTTATATTTTGTGTTTCTTTTCATTTGGATTGTTTAAATTTGTAAGTTGGATGTCTTTGTCATAGCTCCAAACTTGGTGCTTAAAACAGAAATACAGGGTAAAAATTCAATAAGGGAAAAAGAAAAAAAATTGAATCAGTTTTGGGAGCCCATAAATGTCAATAGTCTTGTTTATGATTAATAACTTAATTGTGAACATTCACATCTGCATGAAAGGTGTGTGTGTGTGTTTATGTATAAGAGAGAGAGATTCAGAGCATTATCCTTTGACTGCCAATATTTATTTTATTATCTCCAGTTTAATATAACAGTATCCCACAGATTAGGCCTCCTCCAAATTCCATCTGCCGGCCAATGCCGGCTTTCGACCACCCAGAGGAGGGCCTTCTCTGTGGCTGCTCCGGCCCTTTGGAATAATCTCCGTGTGGAGATTCGGACCCTTGCCACCCTTCAGGCCTTCCGTATAGTCGTTAAGTCCTGGCTGTCCCAGCAGGCCTGGGGGTCTTGAGTTCCACCCCTTCTCGAATTTGGTTGTGCTTGTTGTGTTTTTAAATTGTTTTGTATTGTTGTCTTGTTTTTGTCTTACTTTCTGTATTTGTTCCCTTCCCCTTGGCTTTTGTTCAGCCGCCCTGAGTCCCTCTGGGAATAGGACGGCATACAAATCGAATAAATCCAATCCAATCCAATAGTTCAAAAAAAAATATGTGGGCATCTTCTAGAGATTTTTGGGTGTACTTATTTTAAAATAATGAAGGGCTTGGTTATTGACATACCTGAACAAAGCTGAAATTGCCAACATTTACACTGACCAGTTTTTAATCATTTGTAATCATTTAATCATTTGTAATCATGTAGCCATTTGGGGGACAAGGTGAAGAAAAAGAGGGCTGGTACCTGGATCTGGTTATTGTGTCAACTTATAAAGTCAGAGAGTTACTGGTTTCATTTAGCCACATTCCTTTGATTGGATGCACCCAAACCTCTTGCTTTCCCTCTGATGAAGTGGAAATAACACCACAATCATCCTTCTGTCTCTCTGCAAAGTGGCACAGGACCCCTGGTGATATGAAGGAAGGGGGTGTTGTGTATTTCTCCCCGGGGGGGGGGGATCGGTAGCACCCTCAAATGCCAAGTGTGCTCTCTAGGGAAAAAGCTGAGGACTCCGTTTTGCACATTCCTTTCCCCGATGACTAATTGGGTTACCTCTCTCTTCCCCCCCCTCCCTCCCCCCCCACTTTCCCTCGTTGCCTGGTCACATTTCGAACTGCCGAGGCTTTCCTGCCCATGCTCAGCCTGCTTCCCCTGGGTTTCCCCCTCCCTTCTCTCTGATGCTGCGGGGAGGAGGGAGAACCCCCTGGCTGCTGGCTGGCTGGCTGGCTGGCTGGCTGGTTGGCACACACCGAGTGGCAGAAATGCTCAACCCTGCCCGTCTTTAAAAGGCAGCTTCGGCGGGTGTGGGAAAGCAGGAGAGTTGAGCAGGTGAGGCAATTGGGGGCTGCTGGTTACCGTCAGGGGGTCGTGTCCCTTTAAGAGAGGCGAGACTTTCAACCGAACCGGGGATATATAATAAAACAGACGATCGGCACCGGGTATTGCCAGGCTGAGCTTTAGCCTAACGGCGCATCTATCTATCTGCTTTCACTCCGGCGCGGAGTACCTTGGAGAGCGAAGGATTTGAGCGAGCCGGTCTGTCATTCCACAGCCACCGAAGTGTCCGGGAAGCCACGCATTATCTCCAGATCGCTCCAAAAGATCTCCTCAAGCAGAAAGGCGACGCTCGGGAGATTGATTTAAAGGTGAAATGACGGGGGGTTTCCGTCCCACCAACCTTGGCTACTTTTACGACCGCCTGTGAGAGACCGGGAGCAGAGAAGAGCCAGCTTGGATGTCTCTCTAACAGTTGGACGGAGGAGTCCGGCCAGCGAGACCGTGGTGGGGCGGCGGAGAGAGAGAGAGAGAAAGAGAGAGGGAAAGAGAGAGAGAGGCGCCGACCAGCCCATCCGAGACGCCTGGGGTTGCCTTTGGTCTTCAGGCGGAGAGAGAGAGAGAGAAAGAGAGAGGGAAAGAGAGAGAGAGGCGCCGACCAGCCCATCCGAGACGCCTGGGGTTGCCTTTGGTCTTCAGGAGAAGACATCCCGACGGAGGAGAGAGAGAGAAAAGACCATTCTTTTGCTTGCCCCGGAGGGCCGAAGTGGATTTCTATCGCCCCCCACTCCTTCCACCCCGACACTGTGGTCCATCCAAATGGATTTGAAAAAGTGTTAACATCTTTCCAATGTATGCGCCCAGAGCGCTCTGCTTTGGCTTGCAGTACTCAGGTAAGGCAGCCTTTCCGAGACTTCAGAGGCAGCCGAGCGCAAGCCAGGGAGTGGGAGGGAGAGCTTCCTCCGCCCCGTAGCTTGCCAGGGTTTCGGTGGGGTTAGAAGAAAACAAGAATCCGGCAGGTTTTTGGGAGGAGCAGAGGGTGGGAGGAGGCGAAGCATTGCCCAGGAAAGGCGAAGAACGGGGGCGATTTCCAGAAAATAAAAGTTCATTCAAATTATGACTCCCCCCCCCCTCTCATCTCAAGATGAAAGGCTGAAATTGGAGGCACATAAAGGGGACAGGGATTTAAAATAATGTCTTCCTTGCGGTTGAAAGATCATACTAAGGTGAGGGAGGGGTTCGTAAGCGCTTTATTATGTTCCTCTGACCACCTCTTTTTCCTTCTTCTTTTGCTCACTGCTTAGTTGATGAATAATAGTAATAATAATAATAAAGTTCAAGTTGAATTAGAGCACTTGACGATGGAAGTCTCAGCTGAGGCTCATCCTTTTCTTCTTTAATGTTTGTTGATGTCATAAGTGAACCCCTCCCTTGCAAAGCGGGGAGGGGGAGGAGGAGGAAGACTGCTCTCTAAATCGATCTGGTTCTGCATGGGTTTCGGATGTATGAGGACTGTAGGATCGCAGGCTGCTTTGTTCTGGGTGTGGGGTGGGGGAGTGAAGAAGGAAGCAGAGAGAGAGGGACTTTCATTTGGAGTGAAGTGAAAGTCAGTCAGAGAGAAAGAAAAAAAGAAAGGAAGAGCAAGAGCTGTGAAGCTATGAAGTAAACTGCTGTTTACTTGGGCAAGTATCTTAGATAAGGCAGAGAAGGTGATTTAAATGGCAGCTGCTGGAGGCAATCCTTTCTTACCATTTTGCAACATTCAGCGTCTCCTTTAAAAAGTTCGACTTGATCTGTCCTCTTTCCGACCAACAGCCTTTTACAGATATCACTGTTGGGCGATGCTTAAAAATAATTGCAAAAAAGAGTTACATCTCGGCTTGACATTGACACGCTGCAGTGGATCAGATCTTTTCCGCTTAACCAAAACAGAAGGGAGATTCTTTCTCTCCCCCCCCCCCCAACCACTCCTTTCTCATTTTTAGCCTTAGTCTTAACTGCCTCCAAATTAACCCTGAGAATCGAAGGAGGTTTCTTGGAGTCTGGAAGTCTTTTCTCACCCTCGTCTTCAAAATAAACCCCGATACTCTGCTGATTGGGCTATTAGAAAGAAAATGCCATCCTGCCATTGGCTGAGGAAGGACTGTGCCTGTGGTTTGATTAATTTGGCAATGTGAAAAGCAACAGAAGGAGTTGCTCCAAACGCTGGACAGTGCACAGAATAGCCAACACTTGGCAGGCATCAAAAGCATTGCAGAGAGGCTATGAACTTTATGCGCGCACACACACACACACACACACACACACATAGAGGTCATCTGAACCATACAATCATTGATACAACAGAAATGAAATGACATACCAGGCCCTGACAAAGAAGGATCTTCCATTTTGGGGTGGGGTGGGGTGGGGTGGGATAAGTGTGTCTTCCCAATGTTCATTCAGACTAATGTTCTTTTCTATTAGTTGTCCAAGGGCAGACAAATGAGTTTTTTTGTTAGGTGAATTTAGATAAAATACAAGGTTGGAGAAAGGTGGCAGCTTTGCTTTGCTTTTTTTTTTAAATGGGGGAAGGAAGCATATGTTTCTGAGAAACCGTTCCTTTGCTTGGCAGACCAGATGATAATAAAAATTTAATGGCTTGAGAGTTGAGCCTGATGCAGTTAAGTATGATACTGAATGGTATCAGAATTCCCAGACTGGCCGGGGAGATTATAAGCAAAAACTTTCAGCTGTACAGCCAGTATTTTTATGAAGCTTTGAGATGGTACTTTGATGTATGTAAATGGAAGAGTTAGTGCTATAATAAGCAATCCTCAGTAGCAAAAAGGATACGTTGTAGGAGTGATGCTCCCGTTTCCTGTTCAACAGAATGTAACAGGGAGAAAATAGGCTCAAATGTGCTCCTTGTGCTTCTTCTTGCTGCTGTGTGGAATAACTCTTGAAAACGAGAGTTATCCTTTCAGACAGTTGACTGTCAACTGTGCATAAACCAAAGGAAATGCTAGTGTCACTTATAGTGGACGACTGAAAACCCAGAGGTATAAACTACTGAAAAAGTATAAATGGCATGGTTTAAAATAAATAAATAAATAAATAAACAGCAAAGCATGAATGTCTAATCTTCTGCCTTCAAATGTGCCCTCCGGAAGACCAGCACATTAGTGTGACTTTTGTAATTCAAGCCAAGCTCATCAAGCTGCAGCTTGGCTTCCACTAGCCCTGGGCTTCTTTTACAAATAAATTTCATTTATGCTCCTGAATTATTTAAAGTTGGTGTAGGAGCAGGTCTCAAGGTCTCTTGAATATGCTCTTTGATATATGAAAGCCACAGCCCGGATAAAAGATGGGGAAGGACTAATAGACCTGAAAGGAACTAGAAGGCAATCCTGCTTGGTGGGAATGCTAACTCTTACCTTTCCTTCCCTTCAGAGGATGGCCATGGTCTCTGCAATGTCCTGGGTCCTGTATTTGTGGATAAGTGCCTGTGCTGTACTGCTCTGTCAAGGCTCCCTTCAGCAAACCTTCCAGCAGCATCAGCATCTGCCCAGACCAGGTAAGATTATTCACAATGGATACTGCCAGAGATGCCAGAATAGGCCTGTGAGAATGGATTATGTGCAATCAGCAGCTCACATTTAAAAATCTGATAATGTAGGCAACTCAATGTTTGCTTGTCTGGAAGGGAAGTACAACACTTGTTTAGGTTGTGTATTTGTGTTTTTCTCTTTCTCTCGCTCTCTGACTTCTTTTCCCACTTTACATTGTGGGTAACTGTGGGTAACTCATACCGTTTCCAATTCAGTCTTTGCTTAATGCACTGGGATATATGTGGGGATGGATAGAAAATCAACCTTATTAAAAACTCACAAGTTACAGAGCTTAAGGTATAGATTTTATCAGCTGGGGAGTGGGCAACTGAGGCATTAGATTCATGTATTAAAAACAAAGGACCACTGCCTAAATTGTGGGTATGGGAAAGGTAGGAAAAACCAAGGAGAAAGCAATATCTTTCCCAGTGGGCATATTTTAACACCTTAGAGGACCTGTCAGAAAAAAAATCAGACAAAATATAAGCATATATTATACATGATATGCATATTCTTAGTCCTATTTGTATACCATTGTACCATTTGGACTTACACTGTGGCAAGTGAGTCTATAGTTGCAGCTTTTGGCGATCCTTTGCTTTCATTCCCATGCTGTAAAAATATTTGTTCTCCCAAAATGATGGCACGGAGTGTGAACAACAGTGACCCATTGCCTGAATTTGTCACAGATGGTGATTTATGGTCATTCAATGAGAAGTATTTCTAAAGATGCTTGGAGGTTGAAGGAAGGAAAAGGATATTTGTGTTGGAAATAGAAATTGATTAAGGTAAGATTGAGTTTAAGGCATTTCATTACAACACTATTCCTCAAGTGAGGATCAGGCTATGCAATATTTCAAGGCTGACGGTTTGTTTTGGACTTGCTTCATGGCTTATGATTCAGGAAATCATCAATCATAATGATCAATTATGAACTATAGAAGGCTATTCTATTGGAAATTTGGCTTTGGTTTAGGAAGACAAAATGATGGTGATGGGGTTTGCTTGTTTTGGGCTTTGTTGTTCCAAGATGAAATGATGTGAAACCATTCTAAAATGTACTCTCAGAGATCAGATCTAAATGTTTGAGAATGGATGGATGAAAGCATGGGTTCATACAATGTGGGCTGAGAAAATAATGTAGGATTCAACTTCAGACTTCACTGAATCTCTGATCCAAGATGGAATAGTCTGGTAAAGAATGACTAACAATAATGAATAAGGACAATAGAAAAATGATTGATTGAAGACTTTTCCTAGATAACCCAAAAATGACAAGTTGCACTAAAGCACCCATTTTCTCTATTGAAACATTACTAGTACATCCATAATTTTAATAGATGAGAAAATAATAATGGATTGCATTTGATTATTCTGTTTTAACCTTTAAACATTGATTGTTTATGTACGACTTTCTTCCTTTAATGATTAAAATAACAATTATTAGAAGGTGAACTGTTTAGATGGAAGAACATTAAAAGAAGTATACCAAATGCCTAGAGATACAGAAAAGTGCTCTCTGTTATATGACATTGATGATGACACAATGGATTAGCAAGTCCATACATTTAAAAAAAACAGTGAAAAGGAAAATGGGATCTCATTTTTGCACAATCGGGTAAAACAAGTGACATGATGAGACAGAGAGAGGGGAAAAAATGAGGGATAGATATTCCTGTGGCTTGGAGTATTTCCCTAAGCTTGAAAAATTGCCTCCTTTATTGAAGTAGAAGAGAATGGCATAGAATGCATACAGAATGTTGAAGAAATGGGAAATATGACATGCCTTTCGCAGGGGCTGTGATATAGATAGAGTGAAGATTTTACAACTGTCTCATCACCTGCTTAGGAACAGCAGAGCTGCTCCTCTTGTGAGAGTTCAAAGCAGTCAGCCTGCACCCTACATGAGTAAGATTGATGGTGTTCTGATCCAAGGCAACCAATTTCAGTCTCTCAAGAAATAATCCACTACTCTGACAGATGAGTGGAATTTGACAGAAATGCTCACGATGGTTTCACATTGCTACAAGTCTGCAGAGGGCAAGGCCCCAAGGAACCTCTAGAAAGATACAGCTGCACTTTTTTTTTTGAGAAGGTTCTGTTGGCATAATGTGGAAATTGTGCACACGGACACATACACATTGATGATCTAACTGGATAATGCATATGGGAGATATACCCAGCAAAGAATGAAAATATGCTAATGATGAAAACGAACAGTGGTTTTTAACATATTCAGCTTGGTCTCCAAGCGTTTGCTATTTTTCAGACAGATATTATTAGGAATTCATCATTTACTCTGAGTTAGCCACTTTGACTTAGCCACTGTTTAAGGAAGATTGAAACACTGAAACAAGGGGGGTGGGGAGGAATTAAAAATCAGACCAGTTGGATAAATACATAATTTTTCTAATGTGGGACTGTTGTTTTATGACACTTCACTATTTTTAATAGAACAAAACCAGCCATAACTGATTGTCAACTATATCTCCTCCTCCATCATCATGAGCTACAATATTTCATTGCTAGTTTATAATCTTTGTCTGGGTCCCTAATTTATAAGAGGCAAGAGCCTTTCTAAACAATCAAATTTGGGAGTAGAACTATCAAAGCGCAAAGAAATAGAAAAAGACAACTTGTCTTCTGCATCCTTGCCTCTGTAAATTAAAGACCAGTGTATAGCATGTTAAATATTCTCAAATGTAAACAACTTTTATTGTTCTTGAACTGAACTGCAAGTGGGATTCATAAACATAGGTTAACTGTTTTTTTAAAAAAAACAAAAACAAACAAACCCTGAAAGGTTAGTATAGCAAAATTGGAGCACAATGTTCAGTTGTTTTAATTAAATTGTATTGGCACAAGACATGTAGGGCATGCTTGATAGTTTCTACTTCTGTTCTCAAAAAACAAGCTTAGATGAGGGATTTTCATGATGAAACACCTGCTGTTTCAATTCCATGGCTCCCCTGTAGTGGTTTTGTTTGTCCTCTTTAGCACCTGGCTTTCTGTTGGATCTATCCAACCTTTCTCTTCAATCCTGAATCCATTGAATTGGAAACAAAAAAGTACTTAAAGGGAATATTAAAAAAAGAAGAAATGGGAAGGGTCACCACAGGCCTCGTTTTCTTGGTTTGCTTAGAAGGTGCTAGCTTCAAATATCTGTAATGCAGTTTTGATGTACAACATCTGCTGCAAATAGTAGGAATTAATCTTTTTGCTTTCATTTTGTTACCAATGTGAAAACGACAACATGACAGTTAATTACTAGTCCCAGCACTTGCAGCCTTTTCTTGCACAGTACATTCACTCATGGGTACCTGACGTTTACCCATTTTGCTTGATTTTCTGAGTTCGCAGAACATACCGACATTCCAAGAAATCATACAAACTGCTTTCAGAATATACAGGCTTAGCTAAAATGTTTTTTTAGTGCCAAGTTAAAAAAAAAGTGGCTAGACTGGCTTCTTGTTTTAAAAGTAGGAGACTTCTATCACAGCTTCCCCTGTTCTACAAAATTCCTTAGGAATGTATGGAGATTCTCAGTCATCCAGATCGTGGTTGTCCCAAAGGAGAAACTTCTTCTGCTTTTCTTGGATGAGAAGCAAAACATCTTCAAAGAAAAATAAGAAACTCCAGTGCCTCTTGAAAAAGCACCTTTGGTACAAGGTGGCTATTATTATAAGGTTACTTCATATGCAGAACAACACCTTGATGTATTTAGACCAGGGGTGTCAAACTAGCTTTCTTCAAGTTCTCCTCCACCGGTCGGCCAGGGTGGGGGAAATGGAATGGGTGCCTCTGCAGTATTTTGCTGGCCAAAATGGGCTGTGGAGGGCTCTGCACAGTCCTCCTCCAGCCTGTTTTGGCTGCCAGATGGTGCAGGAGGCTGTCCACGCCAAAAATGGGCCACCGGGGGAGGGATACACATACGCGCCCTCCCGCACACTATTTCAGCTGCCAGAGGCACTGCGTGCCAGTCCTTTGCTATTTCCAGGCCAGCCCCATGGGCCAGATTTAAGCACCCCACAGGCCAGATCCCCTGACTTAGATACAATGGTTTGCTGTGCTTTTTTATGAATTGTAATGGTTCAAGGTTTGAGTTCTTTATTTGTCAGGCACAACTGAAATCTGCTACACTTGGTCTGGTAAGTGCAATAAAATGTCTGTTTTAGGGTAGGGATGTAAAACTGCACAAGGGGAGAACAACTATGGTCACCCAAAAGCTTTTTAATCTATACAGGGGGACATACAGGAAATAGATGATGTCACCAATATCTGTGTAAAACAATAGAACAAGCCGGAATCAGCTATCCAAATATCCAAAAGCATTAGAAGCACAGAGGAAATTAGAAGTACAAGCACAAGGAATGTAAAGGAAAACATCAATCTACTAGTTACTGAATTAATAAACAAGAGCAGCCTTCTCCAAGCCAGAGCTTTCAAAATGTCCTGAAATATAATCCTCATTATCCATAGTTAACTTGGTAGGAGATAACAAGATTTGTAGTTCAGTATACGTGGATGCTAATATATTGTGGAATGCCAAGCTAGAAGAATAAATTACTTTTTAATTTTTCGCTTTAACCCCTGGTAGAATGAAAGAGCAACAGTGGAATAATTATAATAATTTACCTTAGAGTTGAGGATTGTTTTTTTTACTTAAGGTTGTTAAACTTTTGGTTTCAAAATTATGGAGCAGGGAGAGGCAACAAGTAGATGGGATTGAGTTTTTCTATTGGAAACTTCACTGTACATAACATATAATGAGGGAGACGTTTTCATTGCAGAGGAATTGGATGATAGGAATACTACTTCTAATTCTCTTTTTTTGGTACTCTCTGTTCACATTGCCCATTGTAGGGGGAATAAAACAGGGTGAAAAGATGGGCCTTTTTGGTACTCAACATGATGAGCTTGAATGAGCCTACATTCTTAAATTGTGATCCACTACATAGTATAAACT